CCTAAACTTAATCCTGCCCCCACCCCCCTGCACCCAAACCCGAATATCTCCCGCCCCCCTTTGAAAGGCAAAGAAACCCCACGAACCCTTTTCAAGCCCCTTAACCCCCCTTTCAAAGCCCCAGAAACCCCAATTCTTTCGGGAACCTGGAAGGCGATGGCCTCCGATCATAAGTACCATAACCCCAATTAGGGTACCTTTTAGGTTTAGGGTTTAGGGTTTAGGGTACTTATAAGTCTACTTACTAACTACTTACTAAGTCCCCCGACCCTCCAAGAAGGCGATGGCCTCCGATCATATCTGAAGTGGAACTGATGTTGGACTTCCAGGCTCTCCTGTCGAAAACGAACAAATAGCAAGGGTTTAGGGGTTAGGGCCTAGGGCTTAAGAAATAGGAAGGGTTGAGGGTTAAGGGTTTAGGGCTTAAGAAATAGGAAGGGAGGTGTTGGACTTCAAGGCTCTAAAGGCAGAACAGCATTAGGGTCTTGGGTTGAAGCTTTTTGGGTCTTGGGCTTTAGGGGCTCGAGGCTTCGGGTATAGCGGCTTTCCGATAACCCGAGACCCTAAACCCTAAACCCTTCTGACGTCTCTCCCCCTGAAAACGTACCCCAGCATAGATCCCTTATAGAGCCTTTAAGGACCCCTTTAAAGGGAACCCTAGGTAATTAGGCAGGTTTTCCCCCTAAACCCTAAACCCTAGACCCCAAACCCTAGACCCTCAACCCCAAACCCTATGCCCTAAACCCCGGCCCTAGACCCCAAACCCCCAAACCCCATGTAAACCCCCAACCCTTAACCCTTAAGTGATGTCTCTCCTGGTCTTTTCCCGCAGAGGTTGGAGGCTTCTGGTCTTTTCCAGCAGAAGCCGGTGGCAACAGCGAAGGCATCGGATTCCCCACCTGAGAAGGAGAAAAAGATTCGCTTTTGCGACAGATTTCTAGGGGACAAAAAGGAAAAGATTCTCATAGCAGATTCCACGGTAGCATAGGATTTTGGGGGGGCTGGGCATAGGCGTACTTCGGATTCAGCATCGAATTGGGGGCCATGGATTTTGGGGCAGGGTGTGTGTCAGCTATGCGCGCATATGATATGGACATACGTGGTAGGTAGGTAGGTCGGTAGGTAGGCAGCCGTGTATGCATGCATGTATTCATGCAGGTAGGCAGGCATGCATGTAGGTATGCACGCATGTATCATGCAAGTACGCATGCGTGCGTGCATGCATGAATGCATATATGTGTACAACTAAACGAACAATCTTGAATCTATGTGGATCTAAAGCTGTATGTTCTCAAATAAAGATATAGAAATAGAGATAGAGTTGATATACATGTACAGATAGATTTTGATGTGGGTCTAGATCTAGATATAGATAAAGATATAGATATAGATACAGGGGCTGAGAGGGAATGTCATTACTACCCGTGAAGGTATACTTGTTCAGCCCCCTTGTATTGAAAGTCCTGAGCTGTAGTCACTGTAGTCCCTCTTTGGATTTACGGATTTCTGACTCGGCACTACAGCACAGAATATGTGTGTGTATATATATATATATACACACACACACACACATGTACATATATGTATATGTATAAAATATATATATATATATATATATATATATATATGTATATATATATATACATCGAAGCACGGTCCATTGAGTGTGGAGGATCGGCTGTCATTGACCTTCCTACCCCCAACAACCAATAACATCAGCTCGGGAACACCAGGTTTGCTGGAGCTAGGAAAAATTCGAGCGTGATCGAAAGCCCGAAACCCTAAAGACTAGCAAACTTGAAACCAACACCCGAAACCCTAAACCCCGGAACCCTTAAACCCTGAACCCCTAAGCTCTAAACCTTTTTTTGAAAACTCAGAGCCCTTCGCTGCTCGACTTTTCTTCACCGCCGGCGGTAGCGCTTTGCAGGCGGTGGTAGCTGGAAGGCGGACGGCCTGCGTAGAGACCAGCCCTCAGCGGCCTGATGTGGGAATAGAAAGTGTAGGGTTCCTTAAAGGGTTCCTTTAAGGGATCTATAAGGATCATGGGACTTCGGAAGGTTTAGGGTTCCCTTTTAAGGGTACTGTAGGGTTTCTATAATAGGACTCCCTTTAAGGGTTTAGGGTTCGGGGATCATGGGACTTAGTAAGTAGCGTTCCTTAGAGGGATCTATAGGGTTCCTTAAAGGGGGTCTATAGGGTTTAGGGAGTACTTCGAGGATCATGGGACTTCGTAAGTAGGTTATAATTAGAGTTACAAGTCCCCCAAGTGGGGTTATCCTAGTTATAACCTACTTATAACCGTACTTACTAAGTCCCATGATCCTCTAAGTAGAGTTTGGGGTCTTGAGTTGGATTATGGGTTCAGGTTTAGGGCTTGGGGTTGCGAGTTAAGGGTTGCGGGCTTGGGACTACGAGTTTAAGGTTGAAGTTCTAAGTTCTCGGATCGCGTACGGATATGGATGTCTCTCACCATCAGTGTCCTTCTGGGGACCAGAAGATTGTCGTACTCTTGTGGGTAGTCCGGCGAGGTAACCTTATTTGGCGAAGTGCTCAATACTGGTTATAAGGTATAAATATCAAGAGCAGAATGTAAACCCAAGACCGAAAAAGGCTTAAACCCCTAAACCCTAAACCTTAGAAACCTTAACCCCTAACCTTAAACCCCTCAACCGCCCGGCCTGAAATCCAACCAGCCTTGGCAAAAGAGCCCCCATGCCTTTGCGCGGTCCGACACCCTGGAATCTCTAGCAGCCTGCGTTTAGGATTTAGGGTTTGCGCCAAAGACGCCACAAGGTCCCACAACCGGCGCAAAAATCCGCAGTCAGCAAGTCTGAGAATTCTGGGCTGGCCTTTACCCTACTCCTAAACCGACTTTACAACAGCCCCAGACCTCGTGGAAAAGCTGCACGATTCCCTCGTGGACAGGAGATGATTTCCTGAACAGGTTCTGGACCAAATGCTACATCTTGAACTTTACGCCATAAACCCTAATACCCAAAACCCTGATGCCCTGCACCCTAATAAGCCCGAATAGTCTAAACCCTAAACCCTAAACCCTACACCCTGAACCCTCATACTCTATAAGCCCTACATGGGAGTTTCCGGAAATAGGGGATCCCAAAATAATACCCTAAGTAGTAGTGTCCTTATTATAAGGACCCCCAAATAAGGAACCCCTTATTTTCGGAAACTCCCTACATCCGAACTTGAAGCCTAAACCCTGAACCCTAATACCCAAAAACCTGATGCTCTCAACCCTCATACTCTATAAGCCCTACATCCTAACTTGAGGCTTAGAAGGCTTGCGCAGCAATGGGACTCGGCCCTGCAAGGCTTGAAGCGCCGGGAGTCGAAAAAGTCTTTGCTTTAGCTTTACAGGAGTTTCCGAAACTAGGGGTACCTTAAATTGGGTTCCTTATAAGAAGGATCCTAAACTTAGGGTATTATAATGGGGCTTGGGGTTTAGTGCTTGCCGGTATGGACCGGGTCCTAAACCCTAAACCCAAGACCCTAAAGCCTTTATTTAACACTACACTACAGGGTTGAGGAATGTCAGGCTTAGGATGTCGGATCGATAGCGCTTTTTGGCCTGATCCCAAGAAAGGATAAAGCCCAGAAGCCCGCTCCTTTACGTAACAGGTACTCCACAACCCAGTTGGGAGTTTCCGAAAATAGGGGGACCCTACTATAGTACCCAAAGTAGTAGGATCCCTAGTATAAGGACCCCAAAATAAGGTACCCCCTATTTTGGGAAACTCCCAGTTCTTGGGTCGGGAAGAGTCCTGAATCTCGTAGGCAGCTGCCAAGGCCCCCGGGAGAGTGAGGCAACCTGGCGAAGAGGCGCATCTTTCATCTTTGGGGCCCGGGATCCGCTGCCACGACTGGGGTTTAGGGTTTTGGGTTTGGCGTTGGGTTTGAGGTTTGGGGATTGGGTATCTTATCGTTAATTTATCGTCCCTTGAAAGCTTTTTATGTACATTCTGCAATTCTTCAGTTCTTTTCGTTTTTGCTCAGGCTTGCGTTTACAAGTTGTTTAAGCTCCATAAAGGCTTCTTTCAGGCTTTCTCCAGCAATCTGCGTAGCAACCTTCGCATTCCGGCATGCCGTTCTTGCAGCTTGAGCTGCAGGAAAAACATCAAGCCTCTCCAAACTCTACATACACTCTGAACCCTAAACCCTAGACTCTTAAACTAAACCCTAAACTCTAAACCCTAAACCCTAGACTCTAAACTCTACACCCTAAACCCGTTAAGCCCTACACCGGGAATCAGTCAACCTTGCAAACCCTAAACCGCGTACGTGTTTACACAGCCCGAAACCCTCAAACCCCTAAGCCCTAAACCCTGAACTTCCCTGAACCCCTAAACCCTACTCCTAAACCCTTAAATCCCTGAACCCCGCATGTTAAACGCGCAACTCTAGAACTTCTAGCCCGAAACCACCGGGAAAGGCCCGAAACCCTAAGGTGTATCGGGATTAGGGGTTCAGGGTTCAGGGCTACACTCCAACATAGCTATCTTTCAAAGCCCATATGGGTGGTTGTCAAAATTAGGATACCTTTTTGGGTCCCTAATATAGTACGGCACCTAATGTTTAGGGTACCCAAAAAAGGACCATAATTTTGACAACCACCCATATGCACAAAAAAGCCTTGCCTCCAGGGGCGTCCGGCCTTCCTGGTTTTTGCGATTGGCGTCCGCTCGCCGTGCTAGCAGCAGCTGGACCTTGGCAGTAAGGGGTGTGTTGGACAGTAGGGTTTGGGGTTTAAGGTTTTGGGAGCGGGGTATATCATACTGTGTTATAGTACAACCTTTCGAAAACCCCGTGTAATAAGTGGCAAGGCACCGCACACTTTTCCAATTGGCTGGACTCTGCGCGCCCTTGCTGCGAGCATTTTCCTGCTATTGAGATCCTCAACCTCATTCCCCAACATGGGGGTGACTGGCGTTCTGTGCCGCTTGTGGGCTCTGCATGTGGCTTCGCCGCCAAAGACAAACTTAATGATACCCTTGTTTCAGCAACCGAAAGCGTTCTTGCTTTTCGCAATCTTGTAACATTTTTGTCACTGTTGTTTCCAAACTGCACGCAGACAGGACCGGTAGACCTTTCTCCGCTGAACGTTTCAGTGCCTCCCAGCCTGTCTTGTCTATGGGATTACCATTAACGCCAAGCTCTTTGATTGTGCGATTCTGTGTGAGCGATGCGGCGAGTGTGAAAGCACCTTGTGTGCTGATGTGGTTGCAATCAAGGCGGAGATACTGCAGTGTCCGGCTCTGTTCCAGGAAATCGGCGATCAGTGCTGCCTCAGCATCTCCCACATCACAATTCGACAGTATCAGCCCAACAAGACCCGCAGAGTCCTTCAATGCTGCGAGGAGCTCCTTTATGCCAACCTCACCAATCTTGCTGTCTCTGATCCACAGCACTCGCAAGTTTCGATACTGCGGCAGGGCACGCCCGAACACGACCATCTCGGCTGGAGACATCCCGTGTGCTACTACTGACAGGCGCTGCGGTGCAACTTGTTTGAAGACCCTCTCCTGGAGCTCGATGACCTTCTCGAGATCGGAGCGATGCGTAAATTTCAGTCCTGTTCCTCTTGGCATGCTGCGTGAAGTGCCTACTGTTCTTTCTACAACGTGCCGCCAGAAAGACTTTGGTGAGTCACTCTCCATCGAAGATGCAGCTTGCGAAAAATCCGCTGGAGACATTGGAGCGTATGTGCCGATGTCGTGGAGCAGGCTGGACCACTGTATTTCAGCACGACACCACCCACGGAAAGCATAAGGAGTGTCATTCATCACTAGCTCTTTGAAAGGCCTCATCTCCAGTCTTTCAGTTTTGTCACTGTAAATGCTGATGGGTTTGGGGAAAAATGGCTTGGAAGTGGGACTTGTCAAAACATCCAATCGAATAACCTCGGATATGGCAGCATGGGCATACAAGCAGTGCATATTGGCCATGGCATGGTGGAAGCTCTTTTGCTGTTCGGGGGTCCGCTTATACTGATACAAGCTCATGAAATCGACAAACACCCACATCTCGTGTTCTCCTTTACCAGGCACCAGACGCTCACACAGTTCCCGAAGCTGGAAACCCCATGGATCTGGGTGCTGCATGGCTTCCCAGGAATGGGACACAGACACGATGCGGACTCCTGTTCTTTTCCCACGCACTCTAAACAGGGTTGGAACAGTCCTCGTGTCAAGAAAAGCTTGGGTGCTCCATGCCATATTACTAACCGTGACGTCAAAATACGTCTGGTAGCCCTGCCTCAACACCTGGACAGCATTGGCCTCCTGGCCATCTCCAGGCTCCAACCTCTGCAACTCCTCCCGCGTAACCAAGGCGCTGCGACCGTCCCTTAAGAGTTCTTGCTCTGCTTCCTGGCGTCGGGGCCACAAGCGTCTGGCAGCCTGAAGCTCTTGAAGGTACTCCAAACGCACCAAGCGAACGTCAGCGTCCAGCAGGAAATTGATCAGGTCTCGCTCACTGAACAGGTCGTACTCATGTTCAATCTCGCCGGCAAGCTTGCGAGCTCTTTCTATCTCTTCTTCTCGCCTTTTGCCGACTTCAAGAAGCAGCCGTAGTCCGCAGACGACGATCGTGTATCCCGCCAGAAAAACCCGCATAAGAATTGGCCGATCACGCCTGTGGAGATCAGGATACTTGCAGCTTGTATTTCCATGCCTTTTGCAAAACACACCCTGCGCGCATGCATGAAACAAGGTATGCAACCTGCCAGTGGATCGCAGTCGGTAGGGTACGGCCAAATCGATCAACTTCCTTCTTTGCAGTCGATAGGTGCCATGGAGCATTTGGACCGCTCACAAAGCAAAGCTGCTAGAGACCCTGCGACACTACCGTTGCAGCCATCAGAAGTAAGTTGAACAACCTGAAGGTTCATATGGGAGTTCCCGAAAACAGGGGACCCTTGTAGACTACCCTAAATAGTAGGATCCTTGATATAAGGACCCCAAGTAAGGTACCCCTAACTCTCGGAAACTCCCATATGACCGCCCACATCAGCATGTGCGATTCGAACCAGTCCGGGGTACAGTTGGTCTTGACAGAATGCACAATGCACAGCTCTAAGCTTCACTGGGCCTCACTGATGCTGGAGACGGATGTCTGATGCTTGAGGGAAGGACCAATGCAAGGAGCATAAAATCATAGGGATCCTTAGGGGTGTAGGGGGAGGGGGGGTAGGGGGCCTTAAGGCCCATAATAAGGACTAATAAGGCCTATTTAAGGAAATATAGTCCCCTACACCCCTAAGGATCCCTATGATACAAAGGGTTTAGGGTGTAGGGTTTCGGGTCCCACCTCAAAGGTGGGATCAAGGCATGGGGATTGGTGTTACTGTTGTTGAGCATCGTCTTGGAGGACGGCATGACAAAAGCCCAGGCATTGCAAGCCGGATCCGTTGTTATAGCAGTGGTAGCAACACTGCTAATCACGAGAACAATCTGAATCATGAGCTCCTTTTCGGGCCCTGTTCAATGTCTTCGATGCATCAGCTGACATTCCCGGCACTGGCTTTAGAGGGTTCCTGGGGCTTAGGATAAACTACGGCTTCGTCCAATCTCCCTGCCCATTAGTAGGAGCCTCGATAATTAGAATAGGCCTTTGGGGCCCATTAAACCATAAATATGATCAGGAACCACTAAAATAGCATAGGTAATTATCCAGGCTCCTGTGGTAAACCCTAAACCCTTGCTACATTCGGGGAATGTCCAGCGAAGGATTTGAAAGGTTCAGATACGAAAAGGGACAAGGGGCTGGCTGACACTCATGGCCCCTAAACCCTACCGGGACCCTAGGGAACCTACCTTTTTAGGGTTCCCTGATAAGATTTCTTTATCCTTAAGAAGGTAGGTTATTTGGGGTTCAAGTAAACCATAAAGCCCTAAACACTAAACACTGTCTGCTGTTGGATTTTCAGGGTAGGCAGTAAGCATCTCCTATGGCCGATCTGGTAACGTATGTTGTGCTGCTGTTGGTTCTGGTTTTGTGTGATGGCAGAATTTCTTGTAGGGAAAGGATTACCACATGGCGCAAAAGCGTTGGTGGGGCCGTACATCATTTCACAATTGCTAGCTGTTCTGTCCTCTATGCGGGAATTCGGGTTGGGGGTTTCCAGAGACTTCAGAGGCCCGTGATCAAGATCCGGGAAAGGTTGAAAGTTTGAAATTAATGCGTCTTGGGCTTAAGTTGTAGCTGTACATCTTCAACCCCAAAATAGCTGTCAAAGCCCCAACAGAGCCGAGAACGCCTTACGAGTCAGAATAGGGTTTGGAGGCCCATTACAATGTATATAAGGAACCCCCACAATAGTATTGGTAATTACTACCTTCACCCCAAATAACCTACCTTTTTAAGGACGTAGAAACAGAAATCATGTTAGGGAACCCAAAAAAAGGTAGGTTCCTTAAAGTCCAGGTAAGGCCCCTATAATAGTAAACCCTGAATTCGAAACCCTAAACCCTAAACCTGATGGGAGGCCTAAAAGGGGGGTTTAAGATTCTTGGGCAGGGATTCCTTAATATGAACCCTGTTATGGGGACCCTAATGCCTACTAAACCCGCATAGGCTAAAACCCCTTTTTTTGGCCTCCGATGAAAACCCTAACAAGAGGGCCAGGGCACAACCTCTTCCTGGCCGGCGCGCGCGGCGAAGTGCAGCGGGGTGTCCTGTAATCCATTTTAAGCCACTGGTTTAGGGTTTGGGATTCAGGCTTTGGAGGTTTTTAGCCTGTATAAGGTCTAGACGTTTAGAGTTTTGGGTTTCAGGGTTTGGGTGTTTAAAGGTTCAGAGTTTCAGGGGTTTGGGGTTTAGGGGTAGTATATCCAGACATGCCAGACCCGAAACTCGCTACAATGCCCCACATGGCACTCGCTCACCCCATTCTACCAAGCCTAAACTCGAGAAATTGAAACCTCAATCCCAACCTGGAAACCCTACTTAAAGGCTCATGGGACTTAGTAAGTAAGGTTATAAGTAGGATATGATTAGGATGACCCCACTTAGGGGACTTAGAACCCCAATTATAACCTACTTACTAAGTCCCATGATCCTCTAAGTACTCCTATTCTGCGAACCCGAGCATCCTGAACCCCTTGAACCCTAAAACCCGAAAACCCTAAACTGTAAACCCGAAATCCTGAAACCCTCAAACCCCAAAGCCCTAAACTGTAGACCTGAAGCCCTGAAACCCTGCACCCCTTAGACCCTAAGCCCTAAAACCCTAATACCCTAGACCGTAGACCAGAAATCCTCAAACCCCAAACAGGGACCCTTACAGTAAGCCCCAGAAAGTTGGAAACCGGATTTAGGCCAAATAGTGCTGGGATCCCCTATACATTGCTCTTAAGGACTGGGGCTATGGAACCTGAAACCCCTTAAACCCTAAACCCTAAAACCCCCTAAACTGTAGACCGTAGACCAGAAATCCTCAACCCCCAAAAACCGCGAAGGAAATAGGGGGTACCTTATTTGGGGTCCTTATAATAAGGATCCTACTATTTAGGATACTATACTGGGGTCCCCTATTCTCGGAAACTCCCATGGAGCCTTTTCCGTGTTGTCGGCCACATCGACGTCGGCCCGGAGACCTATCAAAGCCTCCAGTGAGTCCATGTGGCCTTGGCTGCTGTGCAGGGGTTTAGGGCTTAGGGGCTACAGATTTAGGTTTAGGGTTGTTGGTTTAGGGGGTTTAGGGTTTAGGGGATTAAGGTTTAGGGTGTTAGGGGGTTAGGGTTTAGGGGATTAAGGTTTTAGGATTTAGGGTTGAGGGGATTAGGGTTTGGGGTTTAGGGAGCATTGTCTGTCTATCTGTCTTTGTCTGTCAAAACCTCTATCTATCTGTCTGCGAGAGAAGAGGAGAGGAGAGGACAGCCTGGAGAGGAGGGGAGAGCGGAGACCTAAACCCTCAACCCAGGAGAGGAGAGGAGAGGAGACCTAAACCTTCGCCACCTGAACCCCGGGAGAGGAGCGGAGACCTAAACTCTAAACCAGGAGAGGAGAGGAGAGGAGAGGAGAGGAGAGACAGCAAAGAGAGGGAGAGAGCCCGGGAGAGACTTCAGGGTCCACAGCCGAGGGGCTTTAGGGCTGGAAGACTCGTTCAGGGCTTGGGGCCGAAGGGTTCGAAGGTCCAGGATTTGGGGGTGCATGAAGTCTTGGAGTCTTGGGGTTGCAGATTGAAGGGTTAAGGTGCAGGGCTTTTGAGAGGCTTTGGGGTTGCTTAGTCTTTTCTGCTTCGGTGTTTTCGGTTTGACTACGGCTCAAAGTTCGGCGATCCTTATGGCATTCACAACTTCGGGTTGGGGGGGCAGAGGCCTAGAGTGACGAAGCGCTGAGCGTTCCGGTTTAGGGTTTCGGGCTCGGTCTCTTTAAATGTGTGGCATGTTCCACATGTGAACCCCACGACAAAGGGCGTCTCTACGTGCTTGTACTTGCAACCTCGCAAGAGTATTGTATAATGCACCTCGTACATACCACGACTGAGTGTCGGGCTCCAGACAAGACTGAGGCTGGACCCAGATAAAGAAGCAACATAGTTTTCAACACTGACGAGTGGTCTGCACTGAACGCCTCCTTAAACAAGCCCCAAAAGTGCTTTCATGGCGATGACAAACAAGAAGAACAACAATACCAGTGGGAATAAGAACAACTAAGCCCTAGACCCTAAAAATGGTCAATACAGACTATAGTAATTAGTAACGAAGGTGATACTACACTGCCAATAACAACAACAAGAAGAACAACCAAACCCTGAACCCTAAACCCTAAACCCCATCCCTAAACCCTAAACTGTGGACTGTAAAGAGAATAGCAGTGAACGTCGAGGATCCTTCGTTTGCCGCCACGGACATCGGGGCTCGCCCCACGAAGTCCGTCTGACGCAGGGCGTGTCGGCTCAGGGCCGTTGAGGTTAGGAGTTGTCTTTGTTTCCCCAACCCTACTTACCCTAAACCTAGTCCCCCAAAGCCACCGAAACCCCAACCCCCTAGACCCTTAACTTAGGGGCTTTGCGCTGGCTCCGCCTGATTGAGGTCTGCTCTTGCGGCCACCAGGCGGCGAACTGCATCTGGGCTGTCCTGCGACATGGGCCGGAAAAAGTCGCTTCGCCGACCCATAACTCCTATCGGCCTACCTATGTATACATCTGTCTGTCTGCCTACCCGCCGGCCTGCCTGGCAGGCTGTCGGTCTGTCTCTCTGTGTCTCTCTGTGTCTTTCTATCTATCCATCTGCCTATCTATCTATCCATCTATCGAACTATCCATCTATCCTCTCTCTCTCTCTCTCTCTCTCTCTCCATCTGTCGGCCTGTCTGTGTCTAGCTATGTAACTGTCTATCTATCAAAAACTCCGTTACCTCCGGTGGATCGGGTCCCAGAGAGCCAAGGGATCCTCCTGAACCTCGCTCCGTCCTCCAGCGCTGCTTGATGCAAGGCTGTGTACCCCCGGTAGTCCACTTGGTTCACGTCTGCACGGGCATCCAGCAAAACCTGAACGTGCGAAGTGAACATGACTTCAATTCCAGAAACGGGGCTGTTGCCGGTGCTGCTGGTGATGACCATGATGGTGGTGGTGATGAGGCGGCTTATGATGATCATGACGAAGATGACGGAGGTAGTGGTGGCGGTGGTGGTAGTGGTGGCAGTGGTGGGTGATCGTGATGGTGGCTTACTAATCGCCGCTGTTTTGGGCGAAGTGTCATCATCTTTCGCTCGAGCACATGGTGCTCCACTTATTGTTGCTCTTCCTCCTGCGCTCGTAAGGATCAGCTGGCATAGCTGCCAGGGTTGCTGTTGCTGTTGATGTGCGAATTCCCTCGGGGAGGAGCCTCCAAAACGTCCAGGCATCCATCTGACACCGCTGTCATGATGGGCGGTTGCCTGTGCATGATTTCGGTTTTGGGGCGCTTTCGGTTTAGGGTTTAGGGTTTGGAGTTTTGGCTTTCGATTTTGGGGTGCGTTTTTGTTTTTCTTTTAAGGGCGCTTTCGGGGCCTGGGTCTTCAGGGCTGCAACCTGAACAGCTCGGGCCCTAGGACTAATATCGGGGCCTTAATAATTAGAACAGGGTTTTGGGGACCCAGTCTACTAGAATTACACTGAGGAACCCCTACAATAGTATAGGTAATTATTTTAAGGCCCCTATAGCACACCTTCTTCGCCTTCCCCTAAACCCCTGCCATCTGAGCCCAGGCTCCGAAAACTCACCTCCTTGACGCTTAAACCCTGAATCCTTACCCCTAAACCCCTAGGATACCCAGTAACCTAGGATTAAAAAGGCCTCTCTTTTTGGTATTGGGTAACTTTATAAGGAACCTAGGACTACAAAAAGGGAATAAGGGTACTACTGGGCATCCTAGACCCTAATTAGGGTTTTTTTCTATTAAGGGCGCAATGGGACTTTCGCACTGCTGACTCCCTGCCCACTTTTTGGCTCTAATTAGGGTTTAGGGTTTAGGGTTCTAGACCTGAAACCCTTAACCTTAAGCCCTAAACTTAATCCCCAAGACACCGTCGCGAGGAGGACTCGTCCGGCTTGTTTACATTGGCCCCGGCGTGGGCCAAGCAGGTGGCGGTTTCCACGCAGCCGTTCTTCACGGCGATCCACCTTGGCCGCAAGTTTCGGGTGAGGCTGCAGCGTTTGGGATTAGGCTGTCGGCTTTTGGGATTAGGCTGTCGGCCTCAAGGTCCCGGATCCAGAGTTAAGCGATTGGACAAATTGCAGGTTTGATTTGAACTTTGGGAAGTTCCGGATGCCAAAATCCGAAACCCTCTCAACCCAAGGCCCGGTAGAACTTGCTCAAACAAGGTACCATGCCCCAAGCGCGCTAAGGTTAAGGCGTTAAACTCAGACTGGAGGCTGTAAAGGCAGCAATACAGCTTTTGGGTTCGAGGTCCCGTACCCAGAGATCCCAATACCCCTTAACTTATAAGGAATATGCCTCAAATTAGAATAGGGTCCCTAATATGATTTAAGGTATATTCCTGAATTCAAGGATATTTTTGGGTTCTCTGGGTAACACTAAATCCTAACCTCCAAAAGCCTGAACCACAAAACCCAAAACTCTAAATCCGAAGTCCTAATCTCGAAAGCCTAAACCCAAACACTCAATAACCCTAAACCCACAACCCCAAACCCGAAAGCTTAAACCTTAAACCCCAAACCCGGAACCTAAATATGACTAACAAAGCCCAAGCTTCAGTGGAGATTGCTTCTTCTCATCGCTCTGCTCCATGTCGGCACGCGCCTTGCGCAGCGCTTTGTACGGTAGGGGCCGATTTAATTAGGCTTGAGGGGTTTAGGGGCTTGGGGTTTAGGAGTTTGGGGGTTTATGGGTCTTTCCCTGGCCCTCCGAAACCTACCTTTCGAAGGTTCCGCAACATGATTTCATCAGAAAGTCCTTGAAGGCAGGACATCTGGGGTTAAGGTCATCATAAGACTAGGGTTCCTCTTCACGGGATCTTTAAAACATCCCGATAAGGGTTCTAACACAACAGGAAATGGGCTACATTGTGGTGTTACTATACTTCTTTTCCCCAGGTAGTAGCTTCAGGCTGCTGCATTCATTTTGAATGGATGGATTCTTGCAAACCAGATCATCTGGTTTCCAAAACAAGGAAAGCATATGGGTAGTGGTCAAAATTATGGTCCCTGATTGGGTGCTCTTGATATGAGGTGCCGTTTTCAAAATAAGGGCCCAAAAAGGGACCCCAATATTGACAGTCACCCACATTGGGGGTTTCCGAAAATAGGGGACCCTAATATAGTACCCTAAATCGTAGGATCCTTATCATAAGGACCCCGAAAGAAGGTACACCTTATTCTCGGAAACTCCCATATGTAACCTGCAAACACCACCCGAAGATCAACCCACCGGGGCATCAGACTCTGGCATCGCATTCGGTTTTCAGGGCCCCCAAAAAAGCATAAAAGCAAAAGTTAGGATAGGGATATCCCATATAAACCCCCTTATAAAGAAGCCCAATATGGTAGGGATATCCCTACAAAAATGCTTGTGCTTATGTGCTTTTTGGGTCTCCAAGTTTTAGGCTTCATCCCACCGGGTGCTGGTAGTGACCTCCAGAAGGAGGGTCACCACGTCGTCCGTGTCCTTGAGAGTGGCCATGCAGAGGGGAGATAGACCTGGGAAGGGGCTCCTTATTATAATTTGGGTTTAGGGTGGTATAATGGGCCCCAAAACCTAAAGTATAGTACCAATAGGATTAGCATTAGTATTGTTAGTACTAGTAGTATTAATATTGATAGTAGGATGGGTGACTGGGTTTTGGAGCTCAGGATTTAAAAAAGGTTCAGGGGTTGGGGGCCTTCTAGGGATCTATGAAGTTTTATACGGTGTCATACAATTGTTAAGGATTAGAGGGTCTTGAGGGTTCAGCGGTTTACGGATTCTTTAAGCCCCCAGCAGATCCGAATTACAGCTTGACGAGCTTATGACTAACGTAGCAACCTGATTAAGGAAACCTGGTCCTGTGACCCAAAATATGAGGGATGAGGGCTCATATACAGAACCCATATACTGAAGACCCGGGATTCTCTATCAGGTTCCTACATTGGTTCCCTTAGTTTGGGTGTGTTTTTTTTGCAGCTTCACAAGAAATTTCCAAAGCAGCAAACTTTAGGCGAACCCTCAACCCAAAGTGGTAACAACGAAGAAAATAAACATGATGATCACCGCAAATTCATAGGTACCCCTAAACCCTTAGAGAGCTTTTAAAAAGAACCCTTATAGGAACCCTGAAAACCCTGACAAATTTCCGAAAACCCTCAACCCTGAAAACCGCACATTATAAGCATAACTTAAGCTGAATCCTAAACCCATAAGCCCTGAACCTCAAACCCTTAAAGGAACCCGTTAAACAACCACAACATAAAACCTCCCAAACATTCAAATCTGAATCCTACACCCTAAACCCTAAACTGCTCGCTACAAAAAACCTTACACCCCCCTACCCCCGCCCCTCCAAAAAAAGAAAAGAAAAAACACATGTGTCCCACCCCGCCTTTGCTGTCCGACCGGTTCAAGTCGGCGCGAGCTTCGACGAGCTGGCGCGCACAGTCGAGGCTTCCCATCCTTCCATGAAAAGGATGTTTTAAGGGCTGCCCTGAATTTTGAAGAGCGTTATGGCGCATTATGGGTTCTACAGAGCTTTATGGAATTTGAAGAGCTTGTTTGCTCTAGAACGCTTTCTCATGGCATGGCTGTATAGGGGTCTTTTCTTCCATCAATGGGCATGCAGTGCGTTGTGGATTCGTTGAGGGGGATTCCTTGAAGGCTCCGTGAACGGATGCGTTGAAGGTTCCGTGGCGGGGGTCATCAGGTTCAGGGTTACTAGAGGGGTTTTACGATGCCTGTTGCGTTTAGGGTTGAAGGTTCAGGGGCCTGGAGCTTTGACTTGAGGGTTGGAGCTTTGCTTTTGGATTGTTTGAGCTCCTTTTTCTGTCAAGCACACGAAGAATCGAGAAGGCACGCGAAGTTTCACCAAAACTACTATAGGGGCCTTAATAATTAGAATAGGTATTTGGGGTCCATTATACTATAATTTCTCATCATGATAAGGAACCCCCACAACAGTATGTGTAACTAGTAAGCCCCCTCCACTAACCCATATAGCACCCTTATGGTAGCCCGTAAAGGAACCCTTTTGAAGGAACCTTATTCTAACTATTAAGGCCAAAATGGTATGGGCAATTATTACGGTCCCTATAGTACCTCCTTATAATAGCCCTTTAATAACCCTTAACGACCCCTGCAAAGGAACCCTATATTGTAGTACCCTTGTAGACTTGTCGATCCCTCAAAGGAACCCTTCAGGTACCTCGTGGCCCCGTCCTTGCAGCCACGACCAGCGGAGTGGCTCCCTCCCGATTGCTGTGGTTCACATCGGCCTGGCACCGCACCCTAAACCCTGTAGCCTATATCCTATACTAAACCCTACATCGTAAATTTTAAACCCTAAATCCTTCACCCTAAACCCTGAGCCCTGAACGTTGAACTCTACACCCTAAACCCTATACCCAAACCTCCTGAAGCATACGCTCGAAGCCGAAACCCCAAAGCCTGAAGCCTCGACTCGAAACCCTTAAGCCGCCCTAAACCCTATACCCTGAACCCTATAATACGGTTTAGGGTTTAGGGTTTAGGGTTTAGGGTTTAGGGTTTCTGTTCTGTTCTGTGCGGTCCGTAGTGCTCATGAAAGCGCGACCCAAAACTTGCAACTTAAAAAACTGTGACGGGTACCCTCACCTCTGCGCAGAAATTGCTTGGCATATGCACTAGAGGGAGGGGTCGGGCCAGGGATGTACCCAGTAGGCGAAGCCAAAAACTGTCCCGGGCCTAATTATACAAAGTGGCATGCCCTTCACGCACCTGCCATTCAAACTCTTGTCGAGGCAGAAAAGTGCAGGCACAACACTTAAACGGACCTGGCTGATTCAAAGCGCCTGGTATCCCTTGCGGGCTACCCAAAAAGCCACCGAGAACAGAACCCTGGAGCAGAAATCCACGACTACAGTAGTGACTGGTGGTGTGCACTCAGGGTAACAAACGGAAGAGCAGGACACGATCACCCGAAAGCGGAAGGTATTCCTCCAAACCGGGCTCCTGAGAGGCCATCCAAACCGCCGGAGCCCTCATCGCGGCCACAAAATGCGCACAGTGACAGCGTTTACACGCATTGGGCCGCGGAAAAGGTAACCAACTGTCCAAACACAAAAACACCAATCAGCAAGGGTGAGTGCATAATCATGTCCAAGGAGGCGAGCGGTGCAACTGCGGTTCCGCGCAGTTCCACTCAAAATGCAGACTCGCAGAATGTGGCTAGGGTCATATTCCACATTCCAGCTGGCAGCCCTACTCGGCTAAACAGACAGCAAGCAATACCTTGGCAGGTTCGTTCTTACTGGTCTGTAAATTCGAATTACCCCTCATCAGCATTTGAAGTCGGAAACTAAGCAATCCTGGAACTCCGTCACGTAGAAGCTGCTGTTCCAGGGTGAGCGTCAGGATCTTGACAAAGATCTGCATGCCGCCTCGAAAGTTCGGCGCCAAGTGAAGGGTCGATTCCTTCTGCAGATTGTAATCCGAAAGAGTACGGCCGCCCTCAAACTGCTTGCCAGCAAAGATCGGGTGCTGCTGGTCGGGCGGGATGTCTGCCTCATCGCGGGATTTAGCCTTGACGTTGTCGAACTTGTCACTGGCCTCAACGTCCAAGGTGAGCTTGAGGGTCTTGACAAAGATCTGCATGCCGCCTCGCAAGTGCGGCACCAAGTGAAGGGTCGATCTCTTCTGCAGGTTGTAATCCGAAAGAGTACGGCCGCCCTCAAACTTGCCAGCAAAGGTCAGGTGCTGCTGATCGGGCGGGATGCCTGCCTTAATTTGGGACTTCGCCTTGACACTGTCGAACGTGCCACTGGCCTCAACGTCCAACGCAATCGTCTTGCCAGCCAGCGTCTTGTCAAAGATCTGCATGCCGCCTCGCAAGCTCGGCACCAGGCGAAGGCGTGCCTTCCATGGGCACTGGGGCTACCGATAGTTCCGCGCTGCTGCGGCCATTCGAGCCCTGGTTTAGGGTTTAGGGTTTATACCGTAACCCTAAACTAAAAGCCGCCCCAAACCCTCGGGGCCCCAAGCTGCCAAATCAAAACCACTACGCGCTTGGGGTTTGGGCTTCAATTTATCAGGGTCCCAGAGAACCCTAATATCCCTTAATTAAGGGCTCCTTAAAGGAATCGTTTTAGGGTTTAGCGTTTAGGGATTATGGTTTAGGGTTTACGGGACCCTATAGCACATACCCTAGCCCTAAATCCTAAATCCTAAACCCTAAATCCTAAGCCCTAAGCCCTAAATCCTAAATCCTAAACCCTGAATCCTAAATGCTAAACCCTAAACCCCAAAATCCTAAACCCTAAGTAGTCCAGAATGGGAGGCCTCCGCTTCAAGCATCCTTCATATAGCCCTTATAGTAGCCCTTATGGACCCCTTTTCCTAAACCCTAAACCCTAAGTACGGTTGATGATATAAATCCTGCGTTACCCATGATAAGGAATATTCCATAATTCCCATAGTTTAGGGTCCTTAGGGCAATGCAGGATTTATATCATCAACCGTAGCCCATAAGGACCCCTAGGTATATATCCTTAGAATAGCTAGTATATACCCATTATATAGCCCATTATAGGGTAGGGGTCTCCATTAAGGGTCCCTCCTTTCTCCTTTGAATAATGGGAAGCCTCCGCTTCAAGCATCCTTAACATAGCCCTTATGGACCCCTTTAAAGGAAACCCAAAACACATCTAAAAGTCCTCAAACCCCTAAAACCCCCAAACCCTAAACCCCAACATAGCCCTTACTTATAGTAGCCCTTATGAACCCTGAACCAAAAATCCTAAACCCTAAACCCCAAAACCCTAAACCCTAAGTAGCCCATAATGGGAGGCCTCCGCTTCCAGGAGGAGCTCAACGCTCTCAGAGTCGCCGCGGCTGGCGGCGACCCAAAGGGGCGACTGCCCTGCGGCTACGGAGAGGGTCATGGGACTTAGTATGTGTAGGGTTCCTTTCTTTAAAAGGAATCTATAAGGGTTCTATAAGGTACTTAAAGGGTTTAGGGGTCTAGGGGTTTAGGGGTTTAGGGTTTAGGGTCTAGGGGTTTAGGGCTTAAGGAGTTTGGGGGCTTAGGGGTTATACAAGGGGTTTAGGGCCTTAGGGTTGGGAGTTCAGGGAGCTTGAGGGTTTACGGGTTGCGGTTCCCATCAGGTTTTGAGGGTTCAGGGGGTTGTGAGGATTTGGGATTCTAGGGTTGGAGGGCTCAGGGTTTCAGGGTTCATGGTTAAGTGAGCCCTACATCCTGAATTCTGAACTGAAAAGCCTCAGCGAAAGTCGCCGGACGCCGTAAGACGCGCCTCGTTCGTTGACCAGGCTGTTCGGAGAAACGGGCTGCTGGAGCCACCTGACACGATTCTACGCTTCTACCACAGCCCGAAGAGATAAACCATACTGCTGATGGACAAAATCCTGCATGACCTTAAGGACTCTAAACTATGGGAACTATGGTGTATTCCTTATAATGGGTGATGCACTATTTTGTCCATCAACAGTATGTACCGTAAACGGTAGACTGGTTCCTAACCCTTACTCCATCCTATAAATCCCCCTCGAAGTTGATATCCAAGCCCTGGAACGAAAACCCCAAAACCCAAACATCTAGGATACCCAGTAACCTAAGAATACAAAGGCCTCTCTTTTTGGTATTGGGTAACTTTATAAGGAACCTAGGACTACAAAAAGGGAATAAGGGTACTACTGGGCATCCTAGACATTGACCAAGTTCAAAGTTGTCCTGGGACAGAGAAGTTGAACTTGCGGACCGTTTGGGTTTTAGGCTTTAGGCAAGGTTTGAGGCTTAGGGCTTTGGGAATGAAGCCCTAAACCACAAAACGTAAGGTTCGGGGCACAGAAACTGGTTAACTGTGATCTTTGCAAGCCGAAGCTAAAACTTCATGGCTACGAGGAAGCCCGAAATGCCTAAAGTGCCGATTGCAAGCTATTTAGGATTTAGGTTTTCTGTTGTAACCGAACATGAAACAATACTTGCAATAAAACCCTCCCCTGTGCACTCAGTAGAAAAATTCTGCTGTAGTCATGATTTTGCAAGGAGAGCGCAGCAGCGATGATTGGAACCCACAAACGGGTTGTAAGATAGTTGGGCTTGGCACTACTTAACGTGATCCCTGTTACTATAGAGGCCTGAATAATTAGAACAGGGTTTTGGGGGCCCCTTCTACCATTAACCAGGACCCCCCAAACAATAGTATAGGTAATTATTAAGGCCCGTGTAGTACGCCTTAATGGGGATCCCTTTCCGGGCACCGTTGGGGGTTCCTTTAAAGGGATCCCTGCTCTGCCTCTCAACCCTCGCGGCGCCACGGTCGAAAGCAAACGACTCCCCGAGCACATCTGGTACTGGGGAGACGATGAGGAATTGCACCTCGCTTTAGGGCTTTAGGAGTTTAAGGCTTTCGGGGTTTGGGGCTTTAGGGGTTTAAGGCTTTAGGGGTTTAGGGGTTTAGAGTTTAAAACTGCCCTGGGCCAATACAAGGGCTCTCCGAAGGCATCAGTACGTAGTTGTGTTCTTGTGTGTTTTGCTTTTGACTGGAGCTCTCAGATCGATTTGCATTGTGCGTTTTATGAGCTCTCTACAGGGATCTATAGTTTTTCTCGGGGGGGTCTGAAGATGTCCAAGAGTGCAGAGTTTAATCCACGGGATGAATTTTCAGAATAAGGTCTTGGGGTAGACCATGCTGCAATTATGCAGGGATGAAGCGGGTATGATTTTTTATTTCGCCAAAACAGGGGCCCGAATAATTGGACTCGAAGTCCGGGGGGGCTCTTATTCTGGACGTGTATTGCCAACTATTCAGGCTCGTACGTTGGGGCTTTGCTAGTTAAGAGTTTGTGAGTTAAGGCTTCAAGGGTCTAGGGTTGATCTGGACAACGACCTGGTTGCTTTTCGGGGTACAAAGCCAAACGTGCTTCTACTTCCGGCGCATGAGTACAACAGAATCGCAAACCCACACGCAAGGCGGAACTGCCTACCTCAACCCTGAATCTCAAGTCTGAACCCTAGACTCCTAGACACCCCCTAAATCCTAAGTTTATAGCCCCAACCCTCAGTCTTAAACCCTAAATCCTCAAAACCGAACAGTCGAAGCGTAGAACTTTTGTCCTGTCAAGAGGGTGTTCGTGCCAGCCTCCGCTGGCAGACGGCCGATCAGCGGGAGGGTATCCTCAAAATGTGTTGTTTAGGGTCTTCGGGCTTCGTTTGGGCTTTAGCTGCAGTTTGGAGTGTCGGGGTTTAGGCTCAAGGCCTCCAAGATATCGCCGCCACTCGTCAGCCGCTGTTGAAACCTGGCTCAACCGAGGTGGGTATGAACTCTATAAACCCCACATGACACCCTTTAAATCTCTGTGTAACCCGACTCTAACTATGCCCTCTTGACTGCTGTCGCTGTAGTAAACCGACGACGGGCGCAGGAGTCGGTCGCCAAGGTTACTGTAGAGGCCTTATATAACAATTAGAATGTGGTTTCGAGTATACTGTACTAGATACATCACGAAGAACCCTGCAGTAGGAACTATTCTGGCTTCTATGGTACTCAGCAAGAGACACCGAGCTGCGAGCTCCTTCTCCCTCTCTCCCTCAAGTCCTACGTTCTTTGCAACAAGCTTGAAGCCTCGGATTTCAAGGCGTAGGGGGGCTTGGCGGTTGAGTTCAAGCTTCGGCTTGCGAACTTTGGAGGGTGAAGGGTTCAAGGCGAAGGGGGTTCAGTGTTCAGCTGGTTTACGGTTCAGGGTTTAGGGTTTAGGGTTCTATGGTAGACGGTTTCGGGTGTGGGGTTCATGGTTTCAGCCTGCGCCTTAGGCTGCATCCTAGGAAAGTTCGTCTCTTGGCCGAGGCATTTCGAGAACTCGCCCATGCGCTGACAACCCTGAACTCAAGCTCAAGACTCACGCGCGAAGCCTTGCAACTTCACAGCTCGAAGCCCTGTAACCGACACCAAACCCCAAACCCTAACCACTGCGGTTGATGATATAAATCCTGCATGAGAACTATGGTATATTCCTTAGTATGGGTAATCCAGGATTTACATCATCAACCGTAGTAGGTACTTAGGCCTTAAAGGGGTCTCTATATAGGTATTTTAAGGCCTAACTACCTTCTATATGGGTACATGGAGCCTTTAGTACGTAGACAGAAGCCTAAGCCACGAGCCCCAGCCCCTAAAGCCGGGAATAGAGCAGAGCTTTGCATGTTAATCTTAGGTGCTGCCCCCTTTCAGTAAGAGTCTATAATAGGGCTACAATTAAGGTCCTGATTTATCTATATTATGAGTATTATTCAACTTTTACTGGGTGGGGGCCGAACCCAATGTTAATCCTTCACCCGTGGTTTCTGGCATTCCTGGCTGACCCCAAAGCCCTCGAAGCCACCCCTTAGTAAACACTTCCACGGTGTAGAAACTCTTATAAACTCTTATGGGGCTCTTATAAATTTTAGTACCCCGATAAGCCACAAAACCCTAAACTGCATTCTTGTTCAAGGGTTTATGATTAAACCCTAAACTGGATTCTTGTTAAAGGATGTATAATCTGAGTTGCCATAAGGACAAAAACCACAATATTTACTATAGCTCCCTAACTTAAAGTAAATTCTTTAACAAGAACCCAGTAAACCCTCCTCTCCCCCGCGCCCCCCAAAGGTTCTCTTAATGTACGGGCCTGTATAATCAGAATAAAGTTTGGGGCCATATTATACTATAGTTAAAAATAAGGAACCCCCAAAAGAGTACAGGTAATTAGTAAATTCTTATGAATTAAGGCCCCTATAGTAGCCGCCTTGGCAGGTTCAGGAGCTGGCCGAGGTGGCGCTTCAAGCCTTTGACCTCGTGTGGCTTTTGAGGGTCTTGGGGGTTTGGAAGCCAGGAGTTGGAGTTTGGGGGATTTTAGGGGGTTTAGTTGTTTAGGGATTTTGGGGGGTGGGGGGGATGCAGCGGTTTTACCCTGAAACCCCTAAACCCCTAAACCCTAAACCCTGGGGCTTTAGGGTTTGGAACCCAGGAGTTTCGGGGGATTTTAGGGGGCTTAGTTGTTTAGGGAGTTGGGTTTGAGGGCCTGGGGTTCTGCGATCTGACCATGATCGATATTCGGGGAATCTTCAAGGGTATGTGGGAAGGGGGTAGGGCTTAGGTTTTAGAGTTTAGGGGGTAATTGGGAGGGGGTAGGGGGCCATACTTCCTTAAGCAGGCCTTCTTGATCCTTGTTACGGGTAGTAAAGCCCACTATCTCCAACAGTCTTTATGAACTGATGCTTTTCTTGGTCAACGAGTCGCTCGACACTTTGAGTAGAACATCACATCAACAAAGGACACGAAGAAGCATAAAGCCTAAACCCTAACCCCTTCATGAAATCTTTGGCGAGCAGCAGAATTGCCAAAGCTCTCCGCAATCTCCTTCGCAATCGGCTGGAGCTTTTTGTGGATGGAACGAAATGGGCTGGTCTACATAGTCAAGTCCCTTTCATCCCGAGCCTAAACGCTGAACCCTAAACAGTCCCAAAACCCTAAACCCTATCTAAACCCTAAACCCCAAATCCAAACCTAAACTCAAACCCGAAACCCAAACCCTAAACTCTTAAACCCTCCCGCCCAAAAAAATAGTTTAGGAAGTCGCCTCAAGGTCCTTTTCCGTCAAGGAGAGCAGCACCGCACCCGAGATCTGATAGATGGTGCAGATCGCCATGGCTGTGTGGGCTTTGGGAGCTTAGGGGTTAGGGGTTCAGGGGTTCGGGGTTTTGGGGTTTGGGGGTTCAAGCTTTGGGGTTTTGAGGTTTTGGGGTCTTGGCTTTAGGTCTTCGGGCTTAAAGGTTTTGAGGTTTTGGGGTTTAGGGTTGAAAGGGTTGAAAGGGTTGAGGGTTGTGGGGGTTGGGGCTTAGTAGGGTTTGAGTTCTGGGTGTGGGGTTTACAACAAATTCAATCGTACGGTCTTCATCCTAAACCTTAAACCCTAAACCCTAAACCTTAAACCCTAAACCCTAAACCTTAAGCCCTAAACCCTACAGCACGCAACCAGGACCCCAGTTTGGGGGACCGAAGGAGTTTCGGGCCGGCGGCCTTCTTTCGCGTTGGGTTGAAGGGGTTTAGGGTTTAGGGGATCGGTTTGTTCAGGGCTTGGGGGTTCAGGATTTTTACGGCTTTTTGCTTAGGGTTTATAGGGTTTAGGGGGTTGGGTTGAGGATTTAGGACTTAGAGGTTGCAGGGACTTTGAAGTGAAGGATGTGGGAGAGTGCCGTGCGAGATATGCGGAGAAGCGGTGGACGCTCCGGCTCAAGATTCAAGGATTTAGGGCTTTGGAGATCCCTTTGCACCATTTTAGGGACCCATGGTAAGGAATATGGTTTCTGTATTATGAAACTTCCCTAACAAGAACCCAGTTCCGGAACAGTCCCTGCAACGATGGTGAGAGATCGACTTGCATGCTGCGTACGGCCATGACTGGTTTGAGCCAGCGCGGCTCTGACCTTCGAAGAGTCTTAAGCAGGTCAAAGTGTTCTGCGGGTGAAGGCTCAAGGTGCTGGGATTGTTCACCGGGTTGATGAAACGTGGGGTTTCACACAGTAATGTAGAGGATTTGATAATTAGGACATGGTTTTGGGGTCCTCATTTTAACTCTCGTATGGTATACCCCAACACCCTAGTCTAATTATTCAGCTCCTCCGGTCAAAGCCTTACGGGCTTTCGTCTGTTCGGTCTAGTGTTCAGGGTTTTGGGTTTAGGGTTGTTCCTGCTCTGCTTTTCTCCTCGCCGGACGAAGGATGTGGGAAAGGCCGTGTCGAAGACAGCCTCATGGACGGCCAGCCTGGGATGGGAAGTCTCAGGCCCTACACGTCAAGCCTTCGTTCGGAGCGCCACTCCTGAGGCCCTATGTAGGCACCACTTTAAGATACTTCCCCTTCGATGATTCGGAGCATGAACAGGGCCCTTAAAGAAAGGGCTGGGTTGTGGATTCATTCGGGTTCCCAAAAAAATCTGCACCCCACAAGGCGGTAAGGACGAAACCCGGCATAGTACTCTAGACATGAGCACAGCATCGAAGATGCTTGGGCTCAGGGTGTTGGGTGTTGGGCTTTGGGGGTTCGGGCTTCAGGGCATGGGGTCGCCAGGTTGTTGAACACTAGGATCTCTGCACCAAACCCCAGCCTAACCCCCTAAACCCCGCGGCCCTAAGTCTTAAATTCGAAAGGAGCAGGGGCTGGGCCACTCCAGTTTTTGCGGTTTTGGAGGCTTCATGCCCAGCTGCAACTCCTGGTGGCTCAGGTTGCCATAACGGGCGCGCATCCACTCGCCGAAGCCTCCGAACCCGAGTTTCATGGTTTGGCTTGGAGAGTTGGGTTTCGGGTTTAGGGCTTAGAGGGTTTAGAGTGTAGGGTTTCGGGTTTAGAGCTCAGGGTTTAGCAGACAAATCGCAGAGCTTCGGATTCTCCATCTTTCCATTACACAGCTGCATGCCCCACACGGCCCAACTGCTTCAACTTTGAACCTCATACTTACAGGCTCATAGGACTTAGTAAGTAAGATTATAAGTAGGATATAATTAGGATAACCCCACTTAGGGGACTTATAACCCCACTTATACCCTACTTACTAAGTCCCATGATCCTCTCAGCAAGTCTCAGCCAAGGGGATCTTAGGCTTCGGATGTTGTGGAGCTGGGCTGAGAGTCTAGGGGTTTGATGTAGGAGCCGGATTAAGAAACCTTGGGCCTTTCTTAGGGTTCCTTATATGAATCCGACTATTTCGGGATTATAGAACCAGGGTTTCTTAATCAGGCTCCTACATTATAGTGTAAGGCTTCAGGTTTCGAAGGCTTTGGGGCCCTCCATCACGGCGCCGCAACATGCCCTTTGCATGAGGACCTGGGAGTTTCCGAAAATGGGGATACCTTATTCTGGAGTCCTCATAATAAGGATCCTACTACTTAGGGTACTATATTAGGGTCCCCTGTTTTCAGAAACTTCGACCTCGACTCTAGCCCCTTCTCCCGACCCCCAGCTCCCGAGGCCCTGGGTACAAGACCCTGAGCCCTAAAGAAAGGCCCGAGTAAGAACCCCCAAATCCTAAGACCCCAGATCCAACCCTAAACCCCACACCTACAGCCTAAACCCTAAATCTGACACACTTATAGATCCCTACGTATATGTATGTGTGTACATATATAAGTGCCTCTATATACAGAGATAGATTGATGGGTTGATAAATGATAGATTGATTGATGTGTGTGTGTGCGCACATATATATATATATATACACACACTTATCTACTCGTTTACCTATGTTGTTTACTTGCTTAGTTGGTTATAGATAGGGCGCCCAAAACCCTAAAACCTGGATCCCTGCTTGGCGCCTGGGCTTTCCGGCTCTGCCTTGCGGAGGGCGCTCCTCGGACGGATGCAAAACGTCCCTAAGTTTTGGGGCTCAGGGTCTGAATCTGGGTTCTTGTTAAGGGATCTAATTTACGTTACCAAAGTAAGGAAACAATGTTATTCACTGTAGATCACTATTACGGTCAGTTGAGTTTTGAATTCCTTAACAAGAACCCAGGAATGCTTTTGGGTATAGAGGCTTCGCGTCTGAGGCTTAGGCTTCAGGTTTGCCCTATAGGATGTTAGTTAAGGCTTATAGAGTTTAGGGTTTCGCAGCCGCTTTTGTAGGTTTGGGCTACAAATATTAGGGTTTAGGATTTCGAGCTCAAGGCCTTTGGGAGCACAGTGATAGCTACCTCAACTCCCCAAGACAAACCGAGGACCCAACATGCAACTGCTTCCCTAAACCCTAAACCCCTAAACCGCTAAACCCCTAAACCCCAAAACCCTAAACCCTAAACCCTAAACCCTAAACCCTAAACCCTAAACCCTAAACCCTAAACCCTGAAGACCCTAAGGCTCTACGATCCCCAAGCCCTAAACCCCAAAACCGGAAGCCTCGAGCCCCCAAACCTCTGAAGCCCCAAAACCCTACACCCCAAATCCCTGCTTAAAGGCTCATGGGACTTAGTAAGTAAGGATATAATTAGGATAACCCCACTTAGGGGACTTATAACCCCAATTATAACCTACTTACTAAGTCCCATGATCCTCTAAGTAGACCCTACGCCAAGAAGGGCAGTGGTTCAGTATTACGGGCCCGAAAATCCCTATTCTCAAAGGGTCGGGGGACTTTGTTAGTAGTTAGTTTATAGACTTCTTATAAGCATCATAACCCCAATTAGGATCCCTTTCAGATTACCGATACTTCTACTTACTACCTACTTACTACGACCGATAGCTCCCTGACAGATCCCCTTAAGGAGCCCTTTAAGGAACCCTATTATAGGAGCCTGAATAATTCCCTATATTATCTTGGTGGTTCCTTATTATAACTATAGTATATTTTACCCCAAAACCCTGTTCTACTTATTAAGGCCCCTATACTACGTACCAACTCCCCCCCTAAACCCTAAACCCTAAACCCCCGAGCCCCCCAAAAAAGGCCGTGGCTCAGATGCTCCAGGGAGCCCGGAGCCGCGGCGGCGAGGCACGCGGCCGACCAGCGCCGGAGCCAGGGCGCCTTGTTCAGGGTTTAGAGGTTTAGAGATTTTTTTCCGTGGGCTGTTGGAACTCTCTCGAGTGCACACGACATGCAAGCTCTAAGCAAACAGAGCGTTCAGACAGCGGCAAAGGCCCGCCAAGCAGCAGGCAATGCCTCTATCTGAGGGGCATTGAGCGGTTGAATGACACATCTGTCTCCGGCGGCCTGAACACGCCACTGACCGATGGTCTGCTGTCCCGCGCTCTGCGCAAGGATGAGAACCGCAGCCGCAATAGCGCTTCGCGCTATTTGAGCCGGCTCAAAACTGGTGCTGAGGTAGGATAACGGAGCATCCTCCTCGCACAAATGATGCCTGACAGCAAACTCTATCACCTGCTTGGCAAAACCCCGAAGAGCCCCAGAACTCCGATTGGTAGCAGATGGCAAGGTGGGCCAGGCAAGATCGCTGGGTGAAGATCTGTCACTGACAGCAGGAGTGTCGGGACGCCTAGTGGCCCAGAAGGGCTGAGGGCCAGCAACACGTGCGGCCGGAGGCCAAGCAAATGACAGCGAAGATCTTACCTCAGGTCCTCGACCAATGTCCGATGCCTCCGTAACATTCAGACAGGCCGGAGATTTGCGGAGGTGAAGCTTAAGCCTCCGCGTAGACCAGAACTCAACATTGCAGACGGGGCAGTGAGTACCATTGGCAACTGCGTCTGCTCTGGCTGCCAGGCCGTGCTTGGCCCGTCTGTGGGAGGCTCGTGCGGCGGCACTGCTGAAGACTGCGAGGCAGCAGTCACACGGGAAGGATCGCGAAGCCTCCAATTTGCTAGTGTCAATGTGGAAGAACATCCACCCGGCCTGTCTAGCCTGCTCGTAGCCTCGCCACTCTCTCAGGAGCCTTTCTTGTTGAGGCTCCCTGTAGCGGAGACACGCCTTGGTGTAGGAACGCGCCCACAGCTTGCCAAGGTGAGGCTCATTTTGACAGCGAGTCCACGCGTTGTGTACAGGCTGTCCCGCGGCGGCAGCGCAGGCTTGCACTGCTTTGTGAGCATCGTCTCGCCATTTTCCGGTCATGAACCACATCTCATGTACGGCTTGAGAGGGTTCAGCGCACAGCCATGCTGCATGGCGACACAGTGCGGCCGTTCGTGATTCAGAGCTGGTCAAGAC